GTTTTGTAGAATATAATTAAATGTCTCTGACTGCTGAGTTCATGCAGCTGAGCAGGTGATGCTCAGGAGTGCTGCAGGAGGGGAGCCCCGTGCAGCCTATGGTTCATTATACCCTGTAGGGATTTTGTCACGTTATGATGGCAGAACATGATCAGACCTCATAGAGGAATGTATCAGGCTGATACTGTGTTGAGGGAAGTGTTTTCAGGTAATTTGCAGGCCACTGGTGGGATAATCATAGTCGAAAATGTTCTACAGCCAGTGTTCAAGCAATTAGGACTCAGGATCCAGTATTGGGGACCTGACCCCAGTGTGGGGGTGGGAAATCTTGTAGTTGGAGAAGAATAAGAAAATCTAATGTTATGTTCAGGAAAACCGCCGTAACCATGAACTGAGACTGGAACTCCGTTTTCAGACTTTCTCACATTTTCCAAAACACCGTCATGATGGAAGCTATGGGAAGGGTGTAGAGGATGGATGGGACCAAAGCATCATTCCGCTTCATCCATTGTGCTAAGGAATGCAAGACCACAAAAGATTTTCTGTGTTCATATCATTAAGGCAAGGTCAATTTGTTATGGTTCTCAACCAGTTTTGTAAACTGCTCAGACAGACACTGGTCCTATATGCTAAATTGTTTGCAAAGTTTGTTTAGTTTCTTTACTGATAACTACTGAGGGGTGGGGAGGGGAATGAGCAAGCTGTGATGATGGTTTGGGGTTTTGTTGCACTAAGATGGTCATTCAAGCAGCAATTTTATATTGGGAAAATAGTATTTAAAAAGAAGACAGAAGGTATTTGTATAATGTTGACCTTTTTCCTATTCGTTTATATATCGTCATTTTAGATTACGCATCCCTCTCTAGTATTGTAGTAGGAAAAAACAAAACTGAAGAATTTCCTGACTTAATAATAAGGACGACGTGTTCTGCCAGGAGTGATGTGTTCCCAACTATGGCTTTCAGGCATTCGCAAACTGCATCAGATGTATTTGTCTTTATGAAGACATATTTGCCTTCAAAGACTTGAATGCTCACCTTCACTGTATGGTCATCGCTCTCTCTTAGCTGTTCTCATCAACTGTGAAATAGCCAGTGTTGGTGTTTCAGTTGTCTTCATGTTTTAGCTATGACTGGAGGCCAATTGCACTTGCCAGATATTTCAGATTGCTGGCTCATTTATGCAGACATCACTTTCTAGTACTTGATTTGCATTTGGTTATTATTTTCTATGGCGCATATTTGAATGTGCTTTTAAAAATTGGTTGGAAGTGCCTAACTTCCCTATGCTCCAGACGTATATTTTGAATTAATAGTGTAAAAAATGCATGGTAGAGTCCTTTCATGACTCAGTTATACTTGCAGCTTTAGAAGATTTGGATCACTTAAATGCATTTATGGTGTATTTGAATCTTTAATGACGTTTGTCAACATCGACCTGTAATTGTGCAAAACTTACACCAGTTTCCCGACCATTTAAAATTTTCATGTTGAACTGTATCTTCATCACATGCTTGAGACCTAACGGACACCATCTTTCCACCAAGTTACTTTGCGGAGACCCTGTTTCTTCCATCCTCTATAAAGCGCAGGGCATGGCTGATGTCTGGCTACCTGAGACTTGAAAAAATCCCAGGTTCTGCAATGACCTCATCCCTGGTGATGCTCGTGATCTCTCCAGCTCTTTACTTCTAGCACCTTATTTTTGAAGCTCTTGGGCTTTTGCTTCAGGTTTTAAACTGGATACAGGCTGTTGGAAAGCAAAATGCAACACCCCTTTGGTACAGCAAAGTTTATCCTGAATTTATTAAAGTAACATCATCAATAAATGGTGGCCATGGGGTCTGCAGGTTGTACAGCCTACTGTAATGCAGTTTTACGCTCATTTTGACAAAATGGTCTCTTCCTCGCTAAATACAAACGTGTAAACGTTCGGTGAATATCCCTTATTCACTGGTAAGAAACTGGATCGCTCTTAAGTTAGTACTATTCTGGGGTTAAAAAAGCAGAACATGTTTTAAAGAAATAAGCTTTCAATATATTATTTTCATTGGAAATGTTCAATTGCTACTTTTGAAATCTTAATATGTATTTTTCAGATGTCCTGAATTTGTTTCTTTGTCCTGTGAGGAACTTGAGAGAAATGAATACAGACAAATTATTTCATAAAACATGCGAAATGGCTGTGGATTGACAGTTAAATCTGTAATAGTGAATACATTCAATTTTCCCCTTTGTTCTGTCAGCAGTCACTTGTACTCTAAATGTCTATTTAATTTTTTAAGTAGATTAACGGGAAATGTTTGCATTATTTGATTATTGACTTGACTTTTCCAAATAATAGATCTTTTCCTCAAATGTTTATGTGATCTTGAAAATGTTTTTCCATAAGGGGAAAATGCTAAAAAGGAATGGGGAACATATTTTGAGTTATTTGTAGTATATGCGCATAATGCCTCATCTGAAATCACTACACACTTGCCTTTGGTTGGGGGGGGGGGGAAGGAGTTTTTCATTTGTACTGGCC